CCCATCTTTCTTCTATTGAACGAATGCCTAAATTTTTTATGGTGTCAATCTGTAGTTTGTTCTTAAAAGCTATAGAGTCTTTGACGTTGTATCTGGAATTGCTGGTAAGATTTTTCAAAATGTTGACGATATATCTGTTATAACCATTATATTTGTAGCCAAGAGTACATCGTATAAATGAGACGTGTCCGGCGTGTTCTTCTTAGTTTCTTTTATGATTTTGTTAACCGCGTCAGTAAGCCGATTTATTTGTTTTTGAGTTTCTGTATTAATCAAGACTTGCCTATTGTTTGATACTATAAGTTGTGACTCCGACATCTTAAGTCTTTCAAAGTCTACTGCGTCCGGAGTTCCTGCCACAACACAATACTGTTCCTAGAAAATCTTACTATATTGTTCCCATACTAAACCTCTACCACCTAACACAGGAATGTACCTTGAGTGTGAATAGTCAGTGACGCGAGCATTTGCTACGATTAAGATGATGAATAAAAGTAGAAGGAAAAAAAATTAAAAAGCTAATGTTAAAGCATTGTATTTCGATTTATAATCAGATCTACTAAATTAAAAATTTAGACAAATATCCGTCATTTCAAATTGTCCTTGTGTTATTTAATAAGTACTGAAGTACACAGGTCAGCCTGTATAATTTTCTCAGAATATAAGGGGGACAATTTGTTGCCTAATCTTTTGTTGTTTTTCAGATACACTTTTTCGCCGACTTCAAAAACTCTGTTCTGCCTATTTAAGTTAAACCGGTTTAATTGGGTTTCTTGAGCACGTGTAATTTTGTCTCTTACTTCTTTTCTAAGATCATTAGACGACGAATGTATAATATCAATTGGTTTTAAACCTGTGACAGAATGTAATGTTCTATTATATGCCACTGTTGCTTGAATAATTAATTGACTTGTATCGCTAATTCCCTTGTCGATTTTAAGACATCTAGCAATTTCCATTAATGTACTGTGGAACCGTTCCAATTGGCCATTTGGGCAGCTATGTATGGTGGCTGCATTTGATTGTAAATAGTCTTGCAACGTGTTTACATTTTGTCTGGAAAGAGCATCAGCTACGTAATTCTCTTTCCCTAGTTTATAATGAATTTTTGCGTTGTACTTTTCTATGAATGCCTTCCACCTTTTAATTTTTGCATTAGTGTTCTTTTCGGAGACTGCAAACGTTAAAGTTTGATGATCAGTAAAAATATTCAACTATTTAGTGCCATACAAGAACGGTTGAAGTTTACGTATTGCCCAAACAATACCTAACATTTCCCTTTCATTGGTGGCATAATGCAACTCGTTGTGCTTCAATGTCCGCGGGATCATTGTCATTGGTCTACCTTCTTGAGACAAAACCGCTCCGATTCCACTATTGGACGCGTCTGTGGTTAAATCGAAAGGTTTTTTGAAGTCCGGATACATAATGATGACATCTTCAGAAGCCAAGGACCTTAGAGCATACAATGTATTTGGTTCGGGAAACTCTTGTATTGACTTAACCTTCTCTGGGTCTGTTGTTGCTCCTACTCTGGCTACAATGAATCCTAAATATTCTAGACTTTCTTTAAAGAATTTGGTTTTCTCCTGTGCGACTCTCATATTGGCGCTATTTTCGAAGTACCGTGTCGATATGTCGCACATGGTCTGTTTCATTGTCCGAGAATATTATTACGTCGTCAGCGTAGTCATAACATATTTTTCCAATTTCTTCGCGCAATACATCATCGATTGTTCTCTGGAATATACTTCCTTTTTACAGAGAATGATGTTTTTCACGATCTTATTCCGCTAAAGATATCTGGTCCAGAGTAGTGAAATATTTTGCCTTCCCTAAATTAGCAAGGGTCATTGGAATGCTTGGCATTGGATAGCGATCGGATATTGTATGTTTATTTAGTTTTCTAAAATCAATGACCAGGCGCTATTTTTTATTGCCATCTTTATCGATGGCTTTGTCAAAGAACCATGCCGAGTTATTGTAAGGGGATTTTGAAGGCCTTATTATTTATTTTTCAGCATTTGTTGGATTTCTTTATTGGCAAAATATTCTACCCCCATCGGATATGGGCATAATTTGGAATATATGGGGTTATTGCTTGTTGTACGTATTAAAGCAGTGACTGAAATATTAAAGGGTAGCGCCTCGTTAGAGGTAGAAAACGCCTTAAGTTTCTTCAGTATCATCTTCTAAAACTGATCCCTTATTATTTCGGGGACTTGTATATCGTCTATATGTGTGAAATTTACGTTGTTCCAGAGGTGGTACTGCAATGGTTCAGACACTCCAGAGTATATGATGTTGTTATCACTTAAATTTAATATTGCACCCGCCTGCGTTAGCAGATCAGAGCCTATGATAGGATCAAATGTATTTAGTGAATCCAACAAAAAAATGGAGCAATTTTCCCAAATAAGACATTTTTACTTGAACCATTATTGAGTTCACAGTAAAAGGGGTATTGGCAGGTGTAACGATTTTGAGCCCTTTTATGGGTCTCACGTATTTTTTTGCCGTCCCAGTATCAATTATTATTTTTTATGTTCTATCAGCCAACTGTCGCTTGACGAACGGCAGTTAGAAACATTCCCTAACATCATCAATATTTTCAACCGTTGATGTGGCCAAATCTTCTTTTGTTCCCTGTTGTTGACTAACTTCCTGACTGATATTGTTTACCCGTTGACGACTTTGTCGTGGCATTCGTTCTGAGATATTCTGTCTTTTTTGGAAGGAAAAAATCCAGGAAGTTGAGGTTTACTGAAGTTTGTTGGTTGTATAAATTTAGATGAAGATGGATCGACATCTATGGGGCCCAAGTTTTGGTTTTGAAATTCCTTTCCAAACTGATAACTTTGTCGGGGCATACTTTGTTGAGTTTTTCTAACAAAGTGAGGATTTCTTTCTTCTTCTTTTCCCTTTCTTGAATGCCATCGGTTACTTTTGGAGGGCTGATTTTTATCTTCAAGCGCCTTGTCGTATGAAGCAGCAAATTTGCTTCTTTCGATACTTGCCTCGGCTTCTTGGGCTAGGGTAATTGTTGTTGGTAAATCCCTGGGTTGTGCAAGGAATACAACGGATCTCAGTGGGTTTTGAGACCTGAAATAAATGCATGTAAGGCGTCACTTCGTACTTCTGAGTTGAGTAAGACGGCCAATTCTGTTTCATGTTTTTTTTTTTCGACCTCGTCATAGTACTCCATCAAGTTTAAATTTCCTTGTCTAAACATTTCCAGTCCCTGTCTTAGTGTTCGTAAGGAAGTCCTATCGTCATATGTGTAGTCTAACCTAGCTATTATAACTTGAAAGTTGAGCACCGTGTTATGTGATACGAGTAATGCTGTAGCCTTTCCCCTACTTTTGTTCCTAATATTGGTCACCGCTTGATAGTGAGCTTCGCTGCTGTCATATGACTTAAACATTTCATATGCGTCTACAGCTGATTGCCACCACGACACATATTCGTGATTTCCGAACTCTGGAACAGATTTTATGATGTCTAAACCTACATCACATTTTATGGCTGGATTGATTGTAATGTTTTGATACGTCTTGACGTTTGGAACATCTACCCTCATGTTAGAAAGTTCTTGACTTAGCGAATCAAATTTGATTTGAAATTCTCCTTGCAGGCGGCCGTCTTGTTCACGCAGGGCATAGTTAACAACACCTTGCACCAAGGCTTGTAATTGCGTAGCGTCCATGACATGTATATTTCGGTTAATTTCTTGAGGAACTCTTGTTTTATTTCTCTGAATTCTCTGCTCCAACTTATCAGCTTTTAACTGATGGTTTTCTACACCGTATTTCTAAATTAATCTAATTTTATATAAACGGCAGAGCTACCTTTATCTTAATAAAGCTTCACGTATAAATTCAATGCTAATTGTCATAATATACTTTAAAATGTTTAACTACTTACATACACATACGAAGTCTTTTTTATTGAAAAATTCACTTATATGGCATTCTTAATTTTTTAGAAAATTGTCCGGATGCTATGTTAACTTAAAAGTTGATTGGGTTGATTGATTGGTGATACACTCCTTGTAGCTTGCAGGTCCAGTGGATCCTATTAGTGTTGGGCGCCAATTATTTTATATCGTCAGTTATCGAGTTTTCCCTTTACATTGGCCTTTTGCCTCAATGAGTAAATAACTTTCACGGTATTACTTTTTAGAATTGAATTCATTTATTGTCACGAGCAAAGTTCTCTCTTTAACTGTATAAATGTAATTAAACTTAAAACTAGAACTATAGCTAGCCATAACCAATTGTATCTTAAGCATATTTTTGAAATATGAGTATTGACATCTAAGTCTTGTTACAATTATGGCTTTGACATCAGTGTCAACACCTTATTGCAACTATTAATCTTTATTTGTAGTATGGTATTATTATTAATAAAGTATTTCCTATTAACTTAGACACATCACAAGTCTATGAAAATTGTATTAAAAATATATATTTTTTACTTTATGTTAAAAAAAAACTAAATAATAAAAAAAAAAACATATAGATCAGACATTCGTTAAAGGTTTTTTAAATTCCTTATGAGATACTAACTTTTTTCCATTTTATTTTATTCAACTTAACAATTAATAAATTATTAATTAGGGAAAGTGCTCTAAATGCTCTTTCTACGAACATTTGATTTCTTTCTACTAAACTGGTTAGAACATTGTAAATTAAAATTATGGCTATGAATGGCCTCGCCTTTTATGTACTTTAATGTTTCCTATTATGTGGTCTTTAAGTTCCTTTAAATCAGCGCAACAAACATAAAAATAAAAGATACCCACTGCACGTTTTTATTTTTTACTGTACTTACGTATAACCGGCAAAATGAGCGATCGCAATCAATCGCGAACGTTCGTTGTCATTGGTGAGTGATTGTTAAAAATGACTTCAACCACCAACGCAGTTTCAACCATCTATTAAAAATTACTTCACATTCTTAAAATATCTAACTAATGTCAATGCAACAATTTTTTACAGGACGTTTTGCAGTATAAAATCGATAATTCGGTTTCAGTTTTTCTGGTCGCTGTATTAGAATATATTTCAGCAGATATATTAAAACTCGCTGGGAATTATGTAAGAAAAATAAAGCATTGCGAAATATCCAAAGAAGATATTGAAGTGGCAATGTGTGCCGACAAGGTATGTCTTTTAAAGTCGCAAACAACAATATGCTATTGATTATTGAACTTAACATGTTTCAGGTTCTGATGGATATGTTTTATCAACCAGACATAAAAAGTAATGTATTACCTAGTCCTTTACCAACGCTGCCGGCCCAGCGTACGAGTACTACCTACGAGGAAGTTGTCAAAGATTTAATCAACGATGAAAAACAGTACCAGCGGGATCTACATATGATCATACGCGTTTTCCGCGAGGAGCTTGTTAAGATTGTTAAGAGCCCCAAAGAGATTGAACAAATATTTTCAAACATTATGGATATATATGAAGTTACAGTCACATTGTTAAGTTCATTAGAGGATGTTATTGAAATGTCCCAGGAACAAAGTGCTCCCTGTGTTGGTAGTTGTTTTGAGGAGTTAGCGGAAGCTGAGGAGTTTGATGTGTATACTAAGTACGCACAAGAAGTTACATCTCAATCGTCGAGAGACGCTCTTACTACATTACTAGCAAGACCTGACGTAAGAAAATTGATATTATTATATCTTTCACCATAGTATGGTCGGCATGTTAAGTTTGTCATTCAGTTGTTTTTAATATATCATTTAAACAAATGCAGGATTCGAATCACGGGCATGGGTAGAATCCTCTATTTTTATTTTATATTAGCTGTATGTCTCGTGGTGGAAGGTATATCGGCATAGCCGTATTTATCGCTTTTTTCACTTGTGACATAAAATGTATCTCTTTGCAATTATTTAGGCAATGTCCCTAATGTCAGCGGGCCATGGATTTCGAGACGCCGTAAAATATTACTTACCAAAGTTGCTATTGGTACCTATATGGCATGCGTTTATGTATTTTGATTATATAAAAATTTTAATGAAATATAGCCCCTCGCAAGATGATATCGAAAGCTTTGAACAAGTTCAGGGCCTTTTGCGCCCACTAAGAAATGATCTTGAAAACATTGTTGCCACTTTGCCAAAGTACGTATTCAAGTACATATTATAGCTATTCTTGGAAATCTAGGAATAACTAAATTGTTTATTTTTGTTTAAAACATAGAGAATCGTGCATTGCTATGAGCAGCAGAGCCCGAAGGCAACTTGCAATTGAACGCACAAGAGAACTTCAAAACACCGTAGAACACTTTGACAAAGATGTAGGACAAAACTGCAATGAGTTCATTCGAGGTATTTTTCAAATATGTTAAATCTAATTGTTAATGAACATTATACTTCATTTATTTTTTAGAGGATGTACTAGGAAAACTTGGTTCTGGGAAAAAAATTGCGGAGCGTAAAGCATATCTGTTTGATGGCTTGATGCTACTTTGTAAGCCTAATACGAAACGGCAGACTACATCGGCGAGCTCTCAAGTCTACGAATATAGGTTAAAAGAAAAGTTTTATATGAGACGAGTCGAAATAAATGACCGTCCTGACAGCGATGACCTTAAATATGCATTTGATGTTGCACCGAGAGTTCAACCACCAGTAACACTAGCTGCTAAAAATTCATTGCATAAAAATGATTGGATGGCCGATCTAATAATGGTAAATACGAAGTCAATGCTTGATAGGATTCTGGATAGTATTTTATTGGATATAGAAAAGAAACATCCATTACGTATGCCTAGCAGTGACATGTATAGATTCGCCGAACCTGATAGCCCAGATAATATTGTTTTAGAAGAGAGAGAAAGTGCAGGTGTGCCATTAATAAAGGTAATAATAATAAAAAAAAAATTATAATTAATAAAAAATAAATCGAAAAATTTTCAGGGCGCAACATTATGCAAGCTCGTTGAACGTCTTACTTACCATATTTATGCAGATCCAATGTTTGTACGCACATTCCTTACTACATACCGATACTTCTGCACCCCGCAGAACTTGCTGTCTCTGTTAATCGAACGTTTTAATATACCTGACCCCAGTTTGGTTTATACGGACAATAATGATAAAGATTGTGAACCCGATAAACTTCATAAAAATTCTCAAAGGGAGGATTGGAAACGCTATCGAAAGGAATATGTTCAGCCAGTACAATTTAGAGTATTAAATGTACTACGGCACTGGGTGGATCATCACTTTTACGATTTTGAGAAAGATCCATCGTTACTTGAAAACCTATTGCAGTTCCTAGAAAATGTAAATGGCAAATCAATGCGAAAATGGGTGGATTCTGTTCTAAAAATAGTTCAAAGAAAGGTAAATTTAGAAATCTTAAGGAATCACATTTAAAATTTAAATTTAATGAAAGACATTTATTGAAATGTTCATTTTGAACATTCGACATAATTTGTTTATTAAAAAAACTACCTTATATAAGAACAATATATATATATATATATATATATATATATATATATATATATATATATATATATATATATATATATATATATTCTGGAGCTAGAACCGCACTAGTTGTAATAGCTGTTACAACAACAACGACTATCGCTAAACCACAATTACCCCAAAAACTTTAATACATATAAAATGTGATGTTACTTTATAAAAGTCATTACATTTAAAGTCTTTGGCAATATAACTAATAATAACACGAGGATTATACCAAAGGCATTTTGTGGTCCTCTTGTCGAAGATCTAAAACTTACCTAAACGCCAGGAATTTATAAATATTAAAACACATTTTTGGGTTAATGCCGTACTTCATATAAGTTTATTCAAAATTCTCGTTTAAAATATCATTTTAGAAGGATGACATCAAATTTCACTTTCTCAGACCAAACTTCGTTAACCATACATAAAGTACACAAATATTTTAAGCTACATTTCGCACCATTTAATATGAAGCTTTGGCATTTTGTAGAGAGCCTTAATTATCCCATTTTATCGTATTCAACTATTGCCGAGACATTTACAAGTATGCAGATAATGCAGTGTTGCATGCCAAATTCATCCTTGAAGTGTGCTCACTTAAATGACGCCTTAACTCTAGATAATTGAGTCTAAATTAGCATGAACATAGATCTGTTCTTTTCTGCGACAGACATTTTGAAATATGTTGAATATGTATTTGTGGCAGACTTATTTATTTTTGCATCAGGCCGAAGTTAGAAAAGGGAGTAGTTGAGCTAGCGGCATCGTCATTTTTTTCCGACATTAGACTGGCGCACATTGGCTTTATTCGGTTGAAGGAACATATTAAAGTTTATAAAGTTTCCTTTAAAGTTAATACTTTGGTTAGTCCGAGTAAAAATTTACCAAATTTTTTGTTGTTAAATATTTTATCTTTACAAAGCCGTGTGTAAGTAAATAAGTCAAAAGTAAAAAAAAAAACTGTAATGGTCAAATAAGTTAATAAAACCATTTCTTTCGGATCTAATAGCCGGGTCCCCTTGGGAAAACTTCATCAGTGCCAGAAGCTTTCACCTCTCATTTGTTGCCTTAAGTAACTCGTTTGCAAAATGCTGATCGTTTAACAAAACATAAGGAATTTTATGTGCATCACACATATGTATGTACATATGTCATCTTTGTTTGAAACAATTTCCTCACAAATTTCCTAAATCTTGAAATTCAAGTCATTGGGTAAGACATTTTTTGGTGTTCCTCTTGTTCTCTTAAAGAAGCAAACTCTTATTAGGGTGGTCTTCTTCTTCTTCCAGAGACTCCATAAAAACACTCCACAAATAGTGTTACATTTTAACCACCTATCAATTGGCAGAGAGAATCAAGCAGTAATTAGTTTTGTGAGCGGTTGCTGGAAGTTTCTCCCTCGTGTAAATAGTTTATAGAAACCCAATTGAAGTTTCGGAAAAGAAGAATATTCAAAAGTGAATGCCAGCCATTTTGAAGGAAAAATCATTCTCCAGAATTTATTATAATGAACTTGATTTAAAGAAAGTTAAAACTTTTCATTTGATACCATACTCGGCTTTACTACACATTTTTATATTTGATATGGGCAAGTGTGTGTATAAGTAAACAACGATTTCAATATTACGCTAAATAGTAAAAACCTAATTTTGTTGCACCTACATCAGCCATAACAAAAAAACCCGCCAGCAAAGTTAATATATGTGCAAACCCCATATTATTCGATGTTGTAAGTGAAATATTTAAAAGCCTGCATTACATCCTAATTCAACATAACCTCATAGCATCATCAACAAATCATCATATACAGGCGTCTAGAATCGAAAGGCCTTTCGTCGCTGGATACTCTGTAATGTAAGTGTTTTTTTGTCTTTACTCAATCTTTGTTATTATATGCCTCATATTATTTCTTGGAACTTTGGAGAAACTAAAGTCACCCCTCGCTCTTATTTGTGGATCGGTACTGCAGCTGCTCTCATTTCTCTTTTACCAGTACCGTTACTCTCAGGGTGAGATTAGTCTGTCCAAAATTCCAAGTATTTTTAAATTATTTTGGGTTTTTATAATATATTATCTGCTGCGGAAACCATTTTAAAATTTTCATTTCCTGGATATTGCCACAATTAAAAGGTTGAATGTTGGCAGTACGTACTTTGTGGCATTACCATTCTGGTAATGTTTCTTTGTTACAGTTTTAAAGACATAGTAAAGCCTGCCCACATTCAACCCAAAACTGTTATACTGATTTCTACATTTATGTTTTGTAACTGAGAGTGTAACTACAGAGTTCTCTCAATATAACGGATCTCTATTATTTTAATCTGTTTCTTTCTCATTGGTTTTTTTTTTCCTCTGTCCGTTTTCATATATTCTAACAAAATTCAATAATTAATATTGAAGCGGTCGACGACCTCAAATGCATGACCAGCTGTTAAAGTTTGAAAATCACCTTTGAATTGTTTGTTACATTTATACACACATATGCTTTCCTTCTGATTATACATTTAAATCATAGTACTAAACATAAAAAAACTCATCATTTTGTATTAAATTTAATTCAATTAAAACAAATTTAATAATAATTAAGAGAACCTTCACAGAATTGTCTTAGAATGTAAATATCTTTATTTAAGGTTTTTCTGATATAAAATTTTGAATAATTTCTTTATTGAAATGTTGGTAAAATTTACCATGCTTTGAATTAAAACCGATTGTTTGACTTAAACGGCATCTGAAGTAAAGGTCAAGGGGGTGATCGTATGGGCTACCAGTGATTTATCGGTGGATACCGGGTAACATGGTTGGGAGGGCGAAAAAGGGCCATGCAATAACACCAGCATAACCCTTCGGCTTAGATAAGATTAAAAAGAGTCCCTGCATCATTCTAACCTATGTCTATTCAATCCTCTTTACTATGCATGCTTTGAACAAAACTTATTAAATTGATTTAATGTAGATAATCTTCGATAGACGATGGCAAGATCCCACCCCACCGACGAGCAATAAGGCTTCGGGAATAAGCATGTCAACGCCATTTGTCTATGCCAGAAGTGAGTTGAAGGTTTCGCTGTAAACCCTACATAAAAAGCCATTGGTTGTATGCTACATAAATAAAATTTTGGCGCCCAACGTGGGGCCCGAGTGATTTTTGATTAAATTAGGTTCTACTTGATAGAGCAAAACACTCTAATATTTCATATATTTTGTTATATCACTCAGCCTCTATTTCCTTTTTTTTCAAGTTCTTTATTCTTTCTATTTCTTTTTCTTTTCTGATGGGCTAAAACAATGCTGTGGAATTTACTATTCATTAAATGCATTATGGCTATTGAATGTAACCTGGTGTTGTTATCCTGTTGTCTCTACCTTTAAATTTTGTTTTCAGAATTTTTGATGACAGGAAATCAGCTTTTGTAGGACCTATGGTCTGGAGCTGACCTTCTGATGAATTCAGTTAACATCATTCTTTTTTGTTTACAATTCGGAATATGTAAAGATTATTGACGATTTTTACATCCATTGTAATTGTACTCTCTATATATTCTCCTCTTTCTCTTTTCTAAGGACATTTATTTTACTCTTTTAATAAGCCAATTGAGCCCCTTTTTTTCTTTGGATGCTGAAAAAAGTCAAACACAAACATATTTATTTTTTTAGGAACTATATTGTTGTTTCCGGTAGGAAATTTCTTAAGAGTCGTACTTCATAATTTATTTTGAAATAGTTGGCTTTTATAACATCTTTATATAGGGAGTGTCGATATTTTTTTAAAATGGCAGTTGTTAGGAGTGATGAAGATATTCCTGCCTCGGTAGCGGCGGAAGAACATGGTCCAATTTGTGGAGTTTGCAATTTGGGTATCACCAGCAAGTCTTTGATGGCGGAGTCTATATGCAGGCATTTGTTTCATAGGATATGTATTTCAAATCATTTGCGAAATAATGCAAATTGTCCTGTTTGCAATACCAGAATTACCAAGGATCCTTCGGCGTCAACTACACAACCTGCTAAAAACAAACCTACATCCCCTATGATGACGAGGTCGGGATCAAAAGCAAAGGCCTTTGATTCTAATAGAACTACAGATTCTGTTTCTGTCAATTTAAGTCAGCAATCAACGATTCCAGCTACCTCAAATTTGACGACAGCGGCATCGAACATCACTTTAAATAATATTGAGGATATAGTTTCAAGGATTCTTGCAGGTCAGCAGTCGCAGCTTCTTTCAAATTTAAGCAGCCAGATTTCACAACAGGTAGAAAGAAGCGTTGAGGCTAGTTTTGCTAGGTTGAATTTAAATTCTGCCCAGAATCTTAATACTTCGTCACCAAATTCCAACAGACCTCCGGGGATGCAGACACTTCCAGACGTTGAGCAAAGGACTCTGGAGCAGCTATTGGGTTTACCTCCAACTAATAGGAATGCTAATACTAGTCACAATAACTCTTTTTCTGCAAATCGCTCGAACATTAATACTCCTTCCACTATCAGCGACCTTCTCTTTAGGCCTGACAAGGTGAGTCAAATTATGTTCAACTGGAAGTTGAAATTTAGTGGTGGTCCGAATTGTCTTCCAATTGACGGGTTTATATATAGAGTGGAAGCCTTAACAAATCAAACATTAGGCGGAAACTTCGAAATTTTGTGCGGTAATGCCTCAGCACTGTTCGAAGGGAAGGCGAATGATTGGTTTTGGCGTTTTCACAAAACGGTCAGCAAGGTTACTTGGCCACAGTTATGCGATGCTTTGAGACGCCAATACAAGGATTCTAGGACAGATGTGGACTATAGAGAAATGATAAGAGATCGGCGTCAGAAACCTCACGAATCATTTGATTCATTCTATGAATCTGTGATAGATCTCG